TTATCAGAAACAGAGAAGGTGATTTGTTCACCCCCAGCTCGCAAAATCAATTTCCCATCATTCACATCAATGAGTGCCTTGGCGGTGGCGAGAAAAGGTCTACCTAATATTAAAGGCACATCCACATACTCATTCATATTCAAAATCACAAAGTCAACAGGATATGAGAATGGCCCTACTGTGACTATCAAGTCCTCTGCAATGCCCCTAGGATGCACAATGGATCTATCAGCAAGTTGAAAGCCCATCCTAGTATCAGTGGGTTCACCTAGGCCTAGGTTTTTAAATAGTTTATATGGCATGAAATTTATTCTAGCGCCTAAATCGGCCAAAACCTTCCCTATATGCAAACTACCAATCATGCAAGGGATAGTAAAACTCCCTGGGTCTTTTCGCTTCTCTGGTAGTTCGTTCTGGAGGATGGCAGAACACTCCTTGTTGAGAATAACCGTTGAAAGCTCCCCAAGATTCATCTTGTTGGTGAGGAGGTCCTTCGTGAACTTGGCATACTTGGGCATTATCAATAATGCCTCCACGAAGGGCATGCTTATGTTTACCTGCTTCAGCATTGCCATGAACTTGGCAAACTCAGTCTCCAGTCGGTCTTTGTGCAACCGAGTAGGAAAGGGAAGCTGTGGTACATACTCCTTCACCACTGGTTGCGGTTTAGGAGCATGCACCTCAACCTCCTTCTCCATTTCCTCCTCATTAGCTGGAAGTGCTGAAGCAGGGATTCTCTCTTGTACCCGAACAGGTGGATCAACAATCATCTTGCCACTCCTGGTAGTGATGGCCTTGCAGTGCTCATTTGGGTCCTGTGGATGAGGGATGGTTTGAACGGGTAGTGTACCAGGAGTCCTCTTAGCTACAACCTGGGCTACACTCCCAAGCTGGGTCTGGATGTCCCGCAGCACAGCCTGTGTGTTTCTCTGGCCAGCTTCTAGGTCCAAGAATTTACCTGAAGCTTTCTCCATGAACTGCTCGATATTATTGAACTTGTTTGCACTGGAGGTGGCTTGAGAACCCACCAAATCTCGCAATTCCGCCATCGAGTCACTCTGTACTAGGGCTGCGCGTGCTGCCCCCTTACTGATGAAATGGCCGCACCTGTGACTGAGGTGGAACTGGCCCATGTCTGGGCGGGTAGAGAGGCTGCTGCAGCTACTGAAATTGCCCTTGTCTGGGCTGGTAAGGAGGCCTCTGGAAGCCTGGTGGTCCCTATGGGACTGGTGGTCTAGAACTGGCCCCAACCCAGGAGAAGTTGGGATGCTGGCACCACCCCACGTTGTAAGTGTTGCTGCAGGGGTCGAAGCGCCTGGCATTGTGACTCACTTCTACTTTCACTCCAGGAATTGGCCAAGTGAAACCACATCCTAAAGCGTAGTATAGCGGGTTTGGGTTTAATTATCAACCCGGGTCCTAGATTTGATGACTACTCAGTGAATTCTTGTTATCTAGCAATGAAACGTTAATGCAAGTCTAAACTAACAAACTAACAAAGCAAGTAAACGGTTGTATTCAGGTTAAGAGAGTTCACCCGGATATGGTTCCCCCTAGACTGCAGTTAAGCCGGATTGTAATTACCAAGTTCAATTTCTATGATAGTTATACTGCGAAAGGTTCTCAAACAGCCTGAAGTCTCGACTAAAGGTCTTCAGATCCTCTCAATCTGAATCTCTAGCGGGCGACTAACCTCCACCGGAGTAAACAGATTGAGGCCCTAACAAACAAAACCTCCACTACCGGAGTAAATCCGGTACAGAATAGTGAGTTGGCTCCTCGACTAAAGTCACCAACTCCCTACCTTCAATCAAGGATGCTCTGTCAACCTAGGCAGATATTCCCATTCTAGGTTAAAGCAGAAACAACAGGAATTTGATCAGGATTCAAGTCATTCAATCATTCAAACCTCAATCGAATATAATCAAATCATAGAATCAGTACTTGGGTTCATACAATCAAAGTCTAACATACAAATCTAGGGTTCTCCATACCCAGATGAATGGGAGAACTACTGCATGGAGAAAGAAGCAAAAGCAGAATCAGACGCGGAATTCATACTGTGAAGGATGGATTCCTGGTCCTGGATGTTGATCGGCACTTCTCCAAGCTCAAACTGGCCTCCAATGGTGTTGAAGATCAATCTAGGGCACTTGGAGACTCTTGTTTGTCGCTTTCTCTCTCTAGGAATCGTTCTCTCTCTCAAAAACTCGAATCCCCTTCTGTTTGGCTGAAAATCTGCTTAAAAAGGCATCAGTGGCCAAAGCACGGTCGAGGGCACGGCCGTGCTTTGCCTCAGCCCGCCCGTGCTTTAGCTAGGGTTAATTACACGGCCATTGTGTTGGTGCAAACACGGCCGTGCTTTGGGAGAACACGCCCGTGCTTTGGGAGAACACGGCCGTGCTTTGGTGAAGCACGCCCGTGTTCTATCTCAGCCCTGCCCGTGTTTTGGCCAATGTGGTCCAAACTCGAATTAGCTCTCGGCAGTAAAAGCACGTTCACAGAACACGGCCGTGTTCTGTTTTAGGTGTGCCCGTGTTTTGGCTCCAGCTCACTGAAATGACTTCTGAATGCCCCGAAACTCGTGCTTAGCCTTTCCTTTGACGCCTGGGACCTGAAATATGACAAAATAGCACAACTCGGCGTAAAATAGGCCAAAAATACACGACTATGCCCCTCAAATGGATAAGAACTAGGGGTGCAAATACGTGCAATTACATCGTTATCAAATTCCCCCACACTTAACCGTTTGCTTGTCCCCAAGCAAACCTAACTCAAACCAATGCAACTCTCCAGACCTCTATAGCAACAGACAACCCAGATCGTAGGTAGAGGACTTCCTAGATCATTTAGCAGCTTACGAGGTCAACCGACGCACAAGTCATCTCATAGCTTCTTCGGCGAGAGCACTAGTATCGAGTCGGCATCATGGCAAATAGTGAACAGAGGACAAATGAATTGTGGATGAAGAGATTCTCAAAAACAAAAGATCATGGACTCACATTTTTCAAGGTGCTCTATATTCTTTGAAGATGGTTGGAACCCCTTTTCTTTCTGTTTTGCTTGTTTTCTGTTATTTTTTCTCTTTTTTTTCTTTTTTCAAGGGTCCCAACCGGCTCTTACCGGCCATGCCAGGAGCGGATGTCTCGAGCCTCGTGCGGGGGAAAGACATGTAAGGGGGCTGGAGATAGTAGGTGGAAATTGGGAACGAATTCCCGTCTCCCCTTACACACTTTCGCCCTACTCGCACGGGAGACGTTTATTTTGAAGCACATTTTCGAGCACCTGTTAAACTCAAAACATGATACAAGAGTCCATGACAGGTAGAGAATCCACAACACCACACAATTCAAGAGTCCTAAGATCACTAATTCACTCAATCAACCAACACAATATGAAGAAGAAATGAGATTTCTTAAATGCATCAACATCCTCCATAGTGCTACACTACCTCCCTAGGTTGCATATTACTATAAAGACTGTCAATTCAAAGCATACTGAGCAGGCAATTGCAAGGAAACACGTACTTGGAGCCCTCAAATTTAAAAATTTGGACAGTGGACTAGGCTCCAAGCACACAAACAGATCTAATGCAGTCAAAAGATAAACATCCCCCCAAACTTAAGATCGATATTGCCCTCAATGGAGAAGAGGGAAGGAAAAGGGAACGATGTTACCGGTATGCACGGACTGCAGGAGACTAGAAACGGGCCAGTCGGGGCAAGCACAGCCAAAGGGAAACAGAAGAGCTCAAACACAATATGTTAGGTTCAATGGTCAGCCCAATAAAATATCATCCAAACCAAAAGAAAACAAACCAAACCCAAACCGGGTTACAATCCGACTCAAAACACAAGAAAGAAAATCAAACCGTGGTGGGGTTGCCTCCCCACAAGCGCTTCTTTACTGTCTTTTAGCTGGACGCCCATGGTGGATACTCAGGGCGGTGCAGGAACAGGTGCCCCCAAGAGCGGATCCACGTCGCTCTTGAGGTACAGCTTCAGGTTGTGGCCATGCACCCGACGGATGCGACCACCCTCATCAGTCAGCTCGACCTGCCCATCTGGCAGGATGCAGGCGAGTGAGTACCCGGACGGCCAGGGTGGTCGTGGTGCAGGAGGTGGGACCAGCTCATAGTGGTCGCCACTCTTCTTCCATGCAGGCTTAGCAACCTGCTGCTTCGGCCGCCACTCCTCCTTGAGCTTTTTGTTCGGAGGCGAGGCTGGATGGAGTGGCGGCGAAGGAATGATAGGAGGGTCCTGCAAAATAGGAGGTGCAGAAGGGTACACGACAGACTCGTGTACCTGATCAGACATCGCATGCACAGGGGTGACAGCAATCATAGCACAGATCTTTCATGAACTTGGCATACTTGTTCTGCAGGATAGCAGAACACTCCTCGCTCAGCAACACTGTCGAGAGATCCCCAAGGTTCTTCTTGTTGGTGCAGAGATCTTTCATGAACTTGGCATACTTGGGCATCTTCGACAGTGCCTCCACGAACGGTATGCTGATGTTGAGCTGCTTCAACATTGCCATGAACTTGGCAAACTCAGTCTCCAGCTTGTCTTTGTGTAGGCGAGTGGGGAAGGGAAGCTGGGGTACATGCTCCTTGACCACTGGTTGTGGCTTGGGAGCAGGGGCTTCCTTCTCCACCCGCACTTCTGCATCGTCGGCTGGAAGTGCTGAAGCAGGTCGTGGTTCCTCCTGTCTGGCCGGGACAGGATCAGTAGATATGGTCTTACCGCTACTGGTAAAATTGGCATCCAGCTGCTGATGCTGGTGAGGATCTCGAGGATTCGGGACAGTGGTGGCAGGCAAAGTCCCCGGTGCCCTGGTGGTGTTCTGGCGGGCCAAGATGCCCACCTGGGTCTGCAGATCTTGCAAAATGGCACCCTGGTTCCTCTGACCTGCCTCCAGTGAGGCTACACTCTGGTCCAACCTCGTGATAGTCGCCTGAGTGCTCGTCATGAATGAAGCTAGAATGTTTTCCAGCTTCGTCATCCTGTCATCTGGGGCTGGAGCTGCTGCTGGCTCGGCAAACTGGCGCTGGGGCTGCTGGAATGGCTGCCCCTGCCTAGGCTGGTAGGGCTGGTGTTGTGGGTCTGGCCCCTGGCGAGCCTGGAAGGGCTGCCTCTACTGAAAACCACCTGCTGGTGCTGGGAAACCGGGTGGTTTAGTGGTGTTGCTGCTCCAGGCAAAATTGGGATGCTGGCGCCACCCCTCATTATATGTGTTACTGTATGGATCGAGGCGCCGCGCATTGGCGATGAAGGCCAACTGCTCCTGGGGTGTGGTAGACTCCCTCATAGCCTGTCAGTCTTCCACTAAGTGATTCGAGCTCTCACACCACTGACATTGAGCAACTGGAGGTGTAGCCAAACCTCTGCCCGGAATAAGAATGTTGGGCTGCTTCAATGTCTGCACTAGCTCAGCTACCTGCTGCTCGAGCCCGGATCTGGTCTCCATGGCGTGCACACCACGGTCCCTGGAATGTCTGCCTCTGCTGCTCTACCCCCAGGAATGATCTCTGGCAGCCAATGTATTAATCATCTGGTTCAGCTCGGGTGGAGTCTTAGTGAGAACATCCCCTCCTAGGCATAGAGACTCAATCACCCTCTGGCTGTCTGGAGAGAGAGCACTGTAGAAATTCCCCACTGTGAATGCATCACTGAAGCCATGATGGGGGCACTGCCAGAAGTAGCCCATGTACCGCTCCCAAGCATCACGAAGTGACTCATCTGGCTCTTGGCGGAAGTGAGTGATCTCCCGCTGAATCTCTATAGTCTTCGATGCCGGATAGTACCTGTGCACGAACTTGTCAGCCAGATCGTCCCAAGAGGTGATGGACAATGGGGGATGGGTCTCCAACCACCTCTTAGCATTCCCCACCAGAGAATGGGGGAAGAGATGAAGGCGGATTGCATCATCCGGGACACCATTCAGCTTGAACCCGTTCGTCAGCTGCAGAAAACGGGAGAGATGTACCCTGGCCTCCTCGTCCTTCAAGCCATGGAACTGGATGGAAGATGTAATGAGCTGAATCCAGCATGGCTTGATCTCGAAGTTGTTTGCTGGGATAGGCGGGTAGAGGATGACCGGGCGGATGTCAGGAATCCGCGGAGTGTAGTAGTACTCCAAGGTGGGACCCGACTGCGGTGGATGATGAACTCCATGATCCTGGGTTATGGGGTTGTTCCCCAGGACCTGATTCACCGGGGGAGCCTGCTGAGGATTCCCCTGGTGTTGATTGTAGTCTTCCATCTCGTACTCCTCCTCAGAATCACTGCTCACGTGGCCGTCTATGCGCTCTTCCGTAGCCAGTCTAGCCCGCTGTTGTCTTCGGCAACGGCGCCAAAAACTTGACTCACTTCTATTGTCACTCCAGGAATTGGCCAAGTGAAACCACTTCCTAAAGCGTAGTATAGCGGGTTTGGGTTTAATTATCAACCCGGGTCCTAGATTTGATGACTACTCAGTGAATTCTTGTTATCTAGCAATGAAACTTTAATGCAAGTCTAAACTAACAAACTAACAAAGCAAGTAAACGGTTGTATTCAGGTTAAGAGAGGTCACCCGGATATGGTTCCTCCTAGACTGCAGTTAAGCCGGATTGTAATTACCAAGTTCAATTTCTATGATAGTTATACTGCGAAAGGTTCTCAAACAGCCTGAAGTCTCGACTAAAGGTCTTCAGACCCTCTCAATCTGAATCTCTAGCGGGCGACTAACCTCCACCGGAGTAAACAGATTGAGGCCCTAACAAACAAAACCTCCACTACCGGAGTAAATCCGGTACAGACTAGTGAGTTGGCTCCTCGACTAAAGTCACAAACTCCCTACCTTCAATCAAGGATGCTCTATCAACCTAGGCAGATATTCTCATTCTAGGTTAAAGCAGAAACAACAGGAATTTGATCAGGATTCAAGTCATTCAATCATTCAAACCTCAATCGAATATAATCAAATCATAGAATCAGTACTTGGGTTCATACAATCAAAGCCTAACATACAAATCTAGGGTTCTCCATACCCAGATGAATGTGAGAACTACTCCATGGAGAAAGAAGCAAAAGCAGAATCAGACGCGGAATTCATACTGTGAAGGATGGATTCCTGCTCCTGGATGTTGATCGGCACTTCCCCAAGCTCAAACTGGCCTCCAATGGTGTTGAAGATCAATCTAGGGCACTTGGAGACTCTTGTTTGTCGCTTTCTCTCTCTAGGAATCGTTCTCTCTCTCAAAAACTCGAATCCCCTTCTGTTTGGCTGAAAATCTGCTTAAAAAGGCATCAGTGGCCAAAGCACGGTCGAGGGCACGGCCGTGCTTTGCCTCAGCCCGCCCGTGCTTTGGCTAGGGTTAATTACACGGCCATTGTGTTGGTGCAAACACGGCCGTGCCTTGGGAGAACACGCCCGTGCTTTGGTAGAACACGCCCGTGCTTTGGGAGAACACGCCCGTGCTTTGGTAGAACACGCCGGTGCTTTGGGAGAACACGGCCGTGCTTTGGTGAAGCACGCCCGTGTTCTATCTCAGCCCTGCCTGTGTTTTGGCCAATGTGGTCCAAACTCGAATTAGCTCTCGGCAGTAAAAGCACGGTCACAGAACACGGCCGTGTTCTGTTTTAGGTGTGCCCGTGTTTTGGCTCCAGCTCACTGAAATGACTTCTGAATGCCCCGAAACTCGTGCTTAGCCTTTCCTTTGACGCCTGGGACCTGAAATATGACAAAATAGCACAACCCAGCGTAAAATAGGCCAAAAATACACGACTATGCCCATCAAACGGATAAGAACTAGGGGTGCAAATACGTGCAATTACATCGTTATCACATTGCCGATGAAGTCCACCTGCTCCTGGGGAGTAGGCGACTCCCTCGTTGCCTGACATTCCTCCACGATGTGATGGGAGCTCTCACACCACTGGCAGTGCATCGCCTGCTGCTGTCCTGTACTTGAAATCATTCCAGATTGATCGATGGCTGAAACCAACTTTGAGACCACATGCACCAAATTAGATGACTGTGTGGCTACAGCATGCATACCCCGCCCTGGTGCTCGTCTCAATCTCCTCGTCGTTCCCCAATCATAGCCCTGCTCTGCCATCTCTTCAAAAAGTTGATTCAGCTGTGGCGGTGTCTTGGTGAGCATATTCCCTCCACAAAATGAGTCAATCAGCTGCTTGTCTTCTAGGAAGAGGGCATGGTATAAAGTGCCCACCTTGAAGGCGTCGGTAAAACCATGGTTGGGACACTTGAGGAAAAGACTAGTGTATCTTTCCCAAGCATCCCGGATGGTGTCATCTTCATCCTGAGCAAAGTGGGTAATGTGCTTCTGCAGGTCTGCCGTCTTGGACGGGGGATGGTAGCGAGTAAGCAACTTGTCCGCCAGGTTGGCGAACGTGGTGATCGATCCAGGGGGCCTAGTGTCCAGCCACTCCTTGGCCTGCCCCTCCAAAGTGAATGGGAAGTACCTCAGCTGGATGGCATCGGCTGGGACACCATTTATCTTGATTCCATCGATGAGCTCATGGAATCGCCTCAGGTGTGATCGGGGGCACTCCCCCTCCTTGCCACAGAATACCACCGAACCGCGCAGCATGGTGATGACAGAGGTGCTCACCTCAAAGTTATTCGCTGGTACATGAGGGTGCTAAATGGGCAACCTCATGTCCGTGGCTCTAACGGTCCAGTAATATCCCATGGTCTGCTCCTCGGTAAGGACCACATCATGGTCCTGTGGGTCACCCATCTCTTCTTCGTCGGCAATTTGCAGCTGTGCTAGCGCCTCCTTCGCAGCCAGTCGCACCTTTAGAGCCCGCTTGAAGTTCCTACAGGTCCGTTCAAGCTCCTTGTCTAATGGTAGTAAATCTCTCGACTGGCTACGGGTCATGCACTACCTGCACACAATCAGCAAAAGCAACCCGTGAAGGCACACAGGTGGAAGAGAGAAAATGCAGTAAAGAAAAGGCTAGAGTAACAAACTTTCACGTTTCCCCAATAACCTAGAGGGTCCCCGGCAACGGCGCCAAAAACTTGACACGCTAAAACACAACACCAAACTGCGACCAAGTGTAATCGCAGTCCGAAAATGCAGTAACATGCAAGCTCTAATTGTCAACCTGGGGTCTAGATCTTCTGCCTACTCCGTGAATATCTATTATCTAGCAAACTAAGTCGAGTGATTGTTGATTTTAGTTAAAAGCAGTAAGAAAGCAAGAAATGGTTCGGTTTTCTAAAGCAATGGAAGAGTCACTCGGGAATGAGTCCCCCTAGCTCCTTAGTTAGGTCTCAGTTGTAATTACCCTGGGTTGATTAACTGTTGATTAAACTGCGGAAAATCCGACAGTAGCTTGGAATCTCTTAAGCTGACCAAGCCCTCTCAGGCAGGCTAACCGGCAGGCGACTAACCTTCACCGGGATAGACTACTGAGGCAATAAGCACAGAATTCCACTACTGGAATTGGGTTCCAGTACAAAGCAGTAAATTGATTAACTCGTATAACCAATCTACACTACCGATTGATGAAGCTCTAATAACCTAATCAGATTCTATCTATCTCAGGTTGCAGCAGAAATCAAGAAAAGATGATCAGACTTCAATTGGCCTAATGAACCATGCATCAATCGATTCAAATCAAACAGTATAACAATCCCAAGTCATTACAATCAAGATTCCTAACCCATGGAACTAGGGTTCTTCATACCCAAGTTAGAGAAAGTTCTACTCCATAGAGAGAGAGAGAGAGAGAGGAAAACAGAAATCAGAGTAGTCATACTCATAAAGATGAGGATATTCTGCTCTAGGATGTCGATCTTCACTCTTGAGGATGGAATCTGGGCTTCAATGGTGAGAAATCCACTCCAAATAGCTCCTAGGGTTTGTTCTTTGCACTTTCTCTCTCTAAAACTCTGTTTTTGCTCCAAAAAGTCGATTCCCTCTCCTTTGGCTCGAATCTGCCTGAAATACGGGCTGAATTACGGTCGTAATCATGGTCTGCCCGTAATTCACCCAAAACGCGTGTTTCACTTAACTCAGAAGAAGGGAATTACTGTCGTAATCATGCAATTACTGCCAGTATTTGAGCAACTACGACCGTAAATGCTTTTCCTCTTGCCCTTAATTTGTTCTGCGACATGAAATCTCAGGTATTTGGCTCGACATTGCATTTACGGGCATAACAAAAGCAATTACGCCCGTAAATGGTCAGGGGCTGCTCGTAATTTGCATCTTGAATTGCCAACTGACCTCCAAATGACCCAAAACTTGTGCCTATGCACCTCTTTACTTGCTAGAACCTGAAATACGACAAAACAACACAACCTAGCGTAAAATAGGCCAAGGAACAACAAATTCGAGCTAAAATGATCAGGAAACAAGAGTGAAAACATGTGCAAATACGACGCTATCAACTGCAGTCTAGGGGGAACCATATCCGGGTGACCTCTCTCAACTTGAAAACAACCTTTAACTGCTTTGCTTGTTTGGACCTTCACTACACTTTCACTGCTAAATAATAAGAACTCACGGAGTAGTCATCACACTTAGGACCCGGGTTGACATTAAAACCCAAACCCACTATACTACGCTTTAGGAGGTGGTTACACTTGGCCATTTCCTAGAGTGACGGTAGGAGCGAGTCAATCACCAGCTGGCGGGGGTGGAAGTGGAGAGTCCTCCCAGGGAGTCTTCCATACTGGCTTCTCGCCCGGTATCAGCTGGAGCAGGTGTTGCTGTACCTCCTGCATATGCCGAGACCGGCCCAGCTCCCTCTCAATGTGATCAAGGGTCACCCCCTGCTGGAACTGGTGAGTGACGTAGTCCTGGGATTATACTCAGCCTGGTGAGTCGAGTACTTCTGCTGGAACTGGAGATGGTGGTCGAAGAGTTGCTGATTCTGGAGACTCAACTGCTGAAACTGGTGAGTGAAGTAGTCATTGGATGGAAAGGTGGAGATACCACCCCCGTACTCAAAGGTGGTCTTGTGAGGGTCGGTGTGGGTGGCAGCAGCGTCCACATCATCGGTGGACATCCTCAGTGGCAGCATCCTCAGGAACTGATCCTCCGCGAGGAGGGGTGGAGCTGGAAACCCCTCAATCCACTTGATGCCACGCTCAACTCGCAGCAGGTGCATCTTCGAGATCGTGTCTTCGCCGAAGACATAAGTGTCCCCCTGCTTTGTGCAATCCTGATATGTAATCTGGAAATAGGCTGCCAGGCGGGTGATGAGTGGGGTGGAGGGTCCCCAGAGTAACAACACTCTTGT